AGTAATATGATCGTAACAAGCAGGCTTAAAAAAGTACAACAATTATTTGATATAGAATTGAGGTGAGATTCTAAGAGCAGGTTACCATGACAACAATAGCATTGCTGTATTTAGCCTTTGTCCTGCATTGTGCATCCATTGGTATGATGTGCCAAGCTGGAAACGAGGACTTTAAACGCTGTTCACTATAAGCTACATGGCCCTGGAGAAACCCCATAAAGTCCTTTGACATTAGTTAGCCCCTTTACATTTCTCAGCAAAATAAATTAAAGGGGCAAAGCACTTAAATAAGTAACCTGTGCAGTCCACAAATGCAATAGAGGGACTACACACACACAGACACAGACACATTCACAGACAGACAAACACACACACACCACCATCCCCCGCATCCCCCCGACCCCTAGTGGAAAAGCCATGTTTGAGTGTGTCAACTTTACAAAGGACAGCCCCTCCTATATACTTTCAGTTGTGCCATGTGGCCTAAAAACACTTCTGAATCAAACATGTGATGATGCTGTGGCTTTAAGAGGTGTGTTTTGTCCTGGTTTCTTCTACAGAGCGATTGGGGTGCAGAGCGGTCTATGAGAAGATAAACAACCTATGAGCCTTGGGGCTTTTTTTAAAGTTGGAAAAATAGAAGCAGTCTGAGTGGGTGTGGTCAAGCTCTCACAGACCCAGGATTTTTAGTTAGCGTTCAGTTGTTGATGGGGTTTCAGCCGGGTTGGAAAGCAGTGAATCTCTTATGGCTGCTACACTCTCTTTCTCAGTTCTCTCAGAACTGTCTTGTGATGTTTTTTCCTGGATTGAAGAACTGCATGTGAAACAAATCTGTTTTCTGAATTTCCCTTTTTGTTAAGGATATGTTTATGGGATGTTAATATATTGGAACAGTTAACTAGCAATAGTTATGGTATCTATTATTCTGTTAGGCTTTCCAGTAAAGTTAAGTTTCCAAGTTCTTTCTTTTGGTGTATTTTAACTATGGTGTTTGAATAAATTGTGTTTTGCTTAATGGTGAGTAGTTTGACCAATTGAATTACATCTGGAACACAGCACCTCACATTTATCTTTAAAATAAGAAAAGTTAGGGTCTACACTACCTTCTTAATATATCTTGAGTGGGTCTGCTCTAGTCCATAACAAATTCCACCCGCCACCTGCTTTAAAGACAGATCTCCTGCCCTGCCCTCAAAGTGTAGAACTGTGTGCATTACCAGCAGAAGATCCACAGATGCTGAACTGAAAGGTACTTGCAGATGTGTTGACCAGGGAGAGATGGTGACCCTAGGGAGTGATGGGCGTAATTTGGAGTCTGGTGGAGGAGGTACAGTCTGAAGTGGGGTGGGGGGGATGTCCCTGGCACCTCTTACCTTTTAGCCCCATATGCAAAAGTAGTGGCTGGCCTCCTTCACTGCTTCTTCCCAGCTGCACATATTATTGTGCTGAGGCAGTTAAGGGCTTCAATGGACCCGGGGTTGGCTGACATCTTGGTGTAATATACAGATAATTTAGGGTTAGGAGTTGCTAGAAAAGGTGCATACTCTCCAATCCCCGCAGATATAGCGGCTTGTGGGATTGTAAAATTCCTCCTACCCGCACTCCCACCAATATTTTGAACTGTATCTTGGAAGATCCTTCATTACCCTTGTTCTCACTCCCCTCCATTTAAGCTGGGAAACTGCATTTTGTTTCATTAATTGATAGCCAGGATTCTGCAGTATAATCAGGTGTGAACCTAATCCTGTACTCATTATTATTGATCTCATTTCATTAACTTAATACCTGGCATTTGTAATTGAGCACATCTTATTTAATCAACCAACTATCACAGCCAAACCTAAATAGATAATAAATGAAATAAGATTTTACAAATTAGAATTTTTAAAAGGACCAAAAAAGAACTACTTTAAAGCTATAAAACATAATCTGTTCTTTAAGGTGCAAATTGGGTACAAATGTTAGCAGAGAGTGATGATTAAACATGATCATCAGTAGATTTGATTGCTGATCTGTTCTGGATTAGCTGTTCTCAACCAAACATGGGACAAGGTTTTCATCATTGCTACCTAATGATTCACTAATGGAAAATTGTATGCATGTTGGTATCGGTTAAAGGAAGGAATGGGCTCACCATTGATTCCCTAATGGGAGAATAATTTACCAAGCTGAACTAACAAAAGCATCATCACTCTTTGGGCAAGGTACTGGAATGCCACCAGCTCTATTGGTAGTGTATTCCAGCAAGAATTCACCTTTATTAAGAGGAGGCACCTCCTTTGAAAAAAATTGAGGGCATCAGTAAAATAAAAAGTTTTTTAATGAATTCTCCACAACATTAAAGATAGTGTGATTGAAATCCTCAAATTAACATTCATGGCACATGCAGTTTCAAAATTTGCTAGATAACAACATCCAATTTTCTGCGGTGGGAGAAGCACTTATTACAAGGTTCAATAGGATATTCAGGACTGTTTGGCAGCCACTGAAGTACAGTTCAAAAGGTTACAGACTGTTCAAAAGGTTACAGACTGTTCAAAAGGTTACATACAGCAGTATCTAAAAGCCAGTAAACATGTGAAGAAGATAGAGAGTAGACTCTGTGTGCTGATTCTTCAAATGAACAATGCAGGTTCTATGGAAGGGGCAGAGCTAAGTCCCAAGAGCAGTTTGATAACTGTTCTGTTAGGACTCAGACCACATTCTTGGAGTTATTAGGTAGCTAGGTGTTGTAGTAAGGTTTTGGAAAGGGGTTGTGCTGGCTCACGAGAAGCTGCATACAACTAAAAATCAACACAGCTGAGTATCGAAGTTGAAAAGCCACACGTAGTATTTAATACAATCAACTGAGCAAGATAGAGCTTGGGAAAATCTAGGGACAGATGTAGCCTGGTGAAGCTGGCTGTCAATGAAAAGCTGGAGTTGTACCTATGAATAAGTCCTAGCGCAATTTTCAGAGTTGAAAGAAGTTTGGACCCAGGAAAAGAACCAGAACGTAAACTGTCAGTAAGGTAGTCCATGACAGAATGGCTCTTGAGAGGCAGTTTCAAGGTCAAGTGAAGAATTATAATCCTTTGTGAAGTTTACTGAGATTTGATGACCCATCATGTGATTAAAGTCTGGGAAAGTCATTGAGAAATCCATGGGATCTGTCTGATCATATCCCTATTTGATGTGCATTGTTTTCTGTTCGATCACAACATATTACCCACATCTACTACTTGTTAGTTTGGGTCATAGAGTTATAGAGGTATGCAGCAATGAACCAGACCCTATGGTCAAACTTATTCATGCCGACCAGACATCCTTAATTAATATAATCCCATTTGCCAGCATTTGGCCCACAGCCGTCCAAACCCTTCCTATTCATAAACCCACTGGATGCCTTTTAAATGTTGTAATTGTACCAGACTCTACCACTTCCTCTGGCAGCTCATTCTATACATGCACCACCCTCTGCATGAAAAATTTGCCCCTTAAATCCCTTTTAAATCCTACCCCTCTCACCTTAAACTTGTGCCTTCTAGTTTTTGACTCCCCCACCCTGGGGAAAAGACCTCATCTATTTACCCTATCCATACTCCTCGTAATTTAATAAACTTCTATAAGGTCACTCCTCAACCTCTTATGCTCCAGGGAAAACAGGCCCAGTCTATTTAGCCACTCCCTGTAGCTCAAACCTTCCAACTTTAACAACATCCTTGTAAATCTTTTCTGAACTGTTTCAAGCTTCATAACATCCTTCCTATAGCATCGAGACAAAAATTGTACAGATTAATCCATTTGTGGCCTAACTAATGTGCTGTAGCACTGCAACATAACCTCCCAACTCCTATACATAATGCACTGACCTGTAAAGGCAAGCCTACCAAACACTATCTTCACTATCCTGTCTACCTGCAACTCTACTTTCAAGGAACTATGAACCTGCTCTCCAAGGTCCCTTTGTTCAGCAACACTCCCCAGGACCTTAGCATTAAATGTATAAGTCCTGCCTGATGAGCCTTTCCAAAATGCGGAACCTCACATTTATCTAAATTGAACTCCATCTGCCACTCCTCAACTGATTGGCCCATCTGATCAAGATCCCGTTGTACTCTAAGGTAACCTTCTTCACTGTCCACTTGATATAATAAATTGTAAAAGCATCATAAATTGTATTAATGTTTTGACTTGTACAGTATAGCATTATTGTTTGTTCAAACCTATGGAATCCAGTTGCTTTATTCTCTTAGTAAATCGTCTGATAACAACGTTTGCCTAAATTAAAAACAAACAACTACTCATTCCTATCCAGATCGTAACATAATTTGGTGGTTTTGTATGGGATCACAGCATAAACTTGGCAGTCAGGTTTGGGATCAGACCAATAGCAGTCACATTTCAAATCCAATCAAACTGGTCCAAGACTTTAAATCAATAAATAAGTACAGTAAGAAAAGCAAATATTGAAATATTAATAACGCAGTTAAGATAATATTCTTCAAGAAACAAGCTCAGGAGTAATGTGGTTCTATTAATGTTTCAGGAAATGCATAAGTAAAGGGATGTATTTGAAGACTATAAGAGATAGAACCACATTATTCAAGGGAGTGTAAAACACGGCACCAGTTAAATATTATTGGAGGGCAAAATAGGCAAAAATATTTTACAATCAACTTACATTCAAAGATTTTTTAATAAATAAAAGCAAATTTATAAAAGATGGTAATAGTAACGTCCAATTAGTTCAGTGGAATTGTTTGAGGGGGATATCTTAGATTTTCATCTTGCTGTTTGTGGATCCTTGCTGTGTAGAATTTGGCTACTGTTTTCTATGTTGTAACAGTGTTTACACTTCAAAAATACTTCATTAGCTGTATAGTGCTTTGGGGTGTTCTGAGGCTGTAAATGCAAATGCAATTTTTGTTTTTCTAAACCTATTTCACTTTAGTCAAATCTGGTTCAAGATTTTTTTACAAAAGGTATTTTTATAATTCTATATACTCCCTTTCTTTCAGACAGTTCCAGTCCACCAAACTCTATTGAGGATGGCTACTATGAAGATGCTGACAATAATTACCCACTTACCAGGATAATTGGAGAACATAAGCATTCATGTAGTTACATAATATTTCCTCCTTTTATTGCTTACTTTGAAAGGTTTCAATATAAGTAATTGTGTACAAGGTATGGCATGGCATGTTGTAATTCATATTTTAGGCTTTAGAAAGAACTCACAAATTAGGTTTTTGAAAATGGCAGATGGGAAAACATACCCTCATTGCTGACAGATCCAATTTCTTTGTAGATGGGGATAGGGGACTGGAGAGATATGATTCACTCAAGAATGAAGAACAAAATCATCAGGATTAAATTAAGTCAATAATTCAAACAAACCCTATTTTGTCTGTTGCAATGATATTAGCCTGCACTGCAGGAGTCATAAATTGTTGGAGCAGATTAAATGGTCTTGAGGGGTGCATGAGATCTATAAAACTGTCATGATCTGAAGCTTTTTACATCCCCTGCTCTTTAAACTTGATAAAAATGTAGATTGCAGTTATCAGTGACCATTTAAAATACACCTTTGCTGGACTGTTTTGATAATAGGCCATCTGCTTCAACTTGGAGAAAACTAATAGCATCTGGTGATAAAATTTCAAATAGAGTTCTTTGTTGGTATCTCTCCAAAGGATATTATTTCATTGTGATTCTTCGGCTGAGTTTCAAAAGTTACAACTATGTCACAAGCGGGTTATGAACATAACGATTTATTGAGAGTTTAATTTTCTTTAATAAGAAATTAACCATGAGAATTAAAAGCTTTTAATGTTTTATTTTTATGAATGGGAACCTTTTTCACTATTAAGTGTTTTAGAGTGAGAGGTCTTTTAGATTGTTTGAAGTATTTTTCATCTCCATGTGTCTCCTGAGGTCTGTCCAAAATAGATACTTGATGAGTGGCTATACAGTTGGCAGTGAATGTATGAATGGCCATAGAAGATGGGTAGCGGCCCTGAAGTGACATTGTGTTGACATGGACAGTAAGTGGTACTATGAGAGTTGGGGTGGGGGTTGAGGGTGTGTGAGCATTGAGAGCTGGATGGTCTTCCACACTGTTAAACACATGTTGAGGCCAAAGGTAAAGGACCAAAAATGCTAACTCTGAAGCTTCTGTTAACTCTGAATGGAATAGTGCAGGAAGCAAAATCAAAGAAAGAAATCCAAAGGCAGTAGTAAGTTAGATAATTGAAGTGAAAAGTACGTGGAGTTCAGGGTTGTAAACAGAATGGAAGTGTCTCACAAACCTCAAGCTATTTTTCTTCTAAAAAAAACAGAAAATGTTACAGAAACTTGGCATCTGTGGATAGAGAAACAGAGCTAACATTTTGAGTCCACTGGCTCTAGTTTGGAAATGTCAAATAATGTCTTTTTTTAACAAATTTTCTTGAACATCATTAATTTCGTGAGTTATTTTACTGAAGGTTAAAGATCTATAACACATCTATAACATATCTTCAATTCATTTTTGTGTTTCAAATTTCTGAATACTTTTGATTATTTTACAAAACCTTTTAAAGGAATGATCAGTGAAACCCATTTGTATTTGGATGAAGGTGATTTATCATTCTGAATGTCATCTGTGGAGTTTATAGAGTTTTCATAGTTTAAAATTCTTTAAGTAGGAAGCTCATGACTCACCACAAGCATAACTGTACCCTGCCATGCAAAGTCCCTCGATTTAATCCTAGATTTGAATGTCATTCAAACTCGAGAGCATTTAGTAGTGTTGCCAGTTCTCAGCTGGATTATAAAGCAGAACACTTGAAGATAATATTTTGTTCTGCCTATGGAATGAGAAGGCTCTGGCTGCACGATTACAGAGTAGTATTGATGATGGCAATGGAGAAATCAGCAGCAGAGGCTTTCATGCACACAATATGACATTTGGAAGGATGAGTAATTTCAATCTAAACTCATATCATGTTCGCTGACTGTTTTCTACAAGGTTTTCACAATATTATGAGATCTATTGCCTGGTGAGCATTACAAAATACACAGGATATGCCCCTCAGCTAATATTCAATTCAGCAAAATGAAGATTTTAAAACAACTGCAAATTACAAAAGATCTGAAATGAAAACAGGAAATGCTGGAAATACACAGCAGGATCATCATCATCCAATTACTGGAAAAGATGAATTAGCACTGTAGGTGTGGACACTGTGACCTTGAAGCATTTCCTTCTAGCAGCTATAGTCACATACTGTCACACAGCTCTGCTGGACCTTCTCCCACTCAGTGTAAGGAGGCTGCTTTATATAATCAATGAAGCAAGCACACAAACCCGGGATATTTTTCAGATAACAATCTTTGTTATTCTGGCACATTTTCTCTTCTCCACATATTATTGTAGAAGCTCAGTCCTGGCATCAAGCTGTGTTGGTACTGCTCACAGATCAGTCAGCACCTTGACCAGGTGAATGAGTGAAAGTGGGTAGTCTTCGTGTCCATTTTTGTCAGACACAATTTGATAATGAAAGATATTACAACCAGGCTTGGTGGTATTTTCAATTGATGTTCACAATTGCATATTTCCGTGCATCTGTTTTCTTAGCATCTTATATCAGCTTTTCTGACAAAGGCTTTCTAATCAATAGTTTCTTTTTCCTGATCTCAGTTACAAAATTGTTCCTTCAATTGAAAACAAGGAAGGAATTATGTTTATAAAATAAGCCAATATAATTAGGATGAACATTTCTTTCACTTAAAGTTAAATATGAATTCTGTTCCATTTGATTCAGTCCTATGTTAAATGAGCAAAGAAAATAGAATGCTGATGCATTGTACAGAATTATCATATAATGAGTTAGTTTGGCAGGGGGCTTAAATCTAGCAGGGAGAAAAAGAAGAATGAAAGACTAGATATACTGAGGTTATTAAAAATGTAGAGTACTTAGAACTATGACGTGACAAATATACTAGAACTGATTGTAGCGCTTTGTTGAAAATATATTAATTGCTTCACATAGACAATGACTCGGATGTAATGAGCAGCGCATATGAATCATATGATGAAGAGGAGGAAGATGGGAAAGGTCAACGGTTGACCCATCAGTGGCCATCAGAGGAAGCCTCCATGGACTTGGTGAAAGATTGCAAAATCTGTGCCTTTCTACTGAAGAAGAAGCGCTTTGGGCAGTGGGCCAAGCAGCTCTGTGTCATTAAGGAAAACAGACTTCTGGTAAATTGATTGTTAAACTTTAAACTTGGAAGGGCTTACTTTTGAAGCACATCAGAATTTTAACCAATTAGCGGACAGATCCCTGTGAAAAGGTTTTGGAATCATGTCAAAATAGCCCTGTGCCTTTTTTGAAAAAAATCTAAATGCAGCTTTAAGTGGAAGCTATACTTTTTAGGGAATATATGATTACCTTGAGGTGTATCACTTCTTGTGAATGGACACTTTGCACTGTTAAACTTAAAGCCTAATATCCCTCATCTATTTAAAAACATCTATTTTCAAATTAAATCAATGCATGAACCATCAACTATCAAGAATTCATTGTTTTAAAACATGCATTTTCTGAACATGTGAATTTGTTAGCATAAACTAGTAACCAGTTATGATGCAACTATAATAACAGGCTGGAATTTTATGGAGTCAGTGCGATTCCGTGGAAGTGTGAAAATGGCAGTCAGAATCTAATTCCAGGATCTCTAACCACATTCCTGGAAATTCTGATTTTTACTGTATCATTTAAGTATGTAGGCTGGTTCAGGTAGCATGTCTGCATTCCTGGTTCCCAACTGCACTAGCACCATTGCAGAGATAGGCATTGTCTAGTTGTCAGCAATGTTCATGGAGTTGGACCAAACTTTTAAAGAACTTGAGGTTCACAGCACCTCAGAGGTGCCAGGATCTGTATTCTGAAATGATGGAAACTTCTGAAAGGTAAGCTTAATATATCTTCCCCGTGCCTTTCTGTATAAAACTATGCCACAGCATCCAGCAACCATGATCCTTCATACCCTGTACATTAAGCAATAGACTAAAATGCCTGTTCAGCTACTTTTTATAACTAATGAACCCTATAGTGACAGTAGGATTTGTTCTAAAAGCTTTTAAACATGTCATTCATTCATTCACAACCTTTCACTGCCTTAGGAAAAATCTTTTCATTACAAGATAATAAACTTATCAGTCATCCAAGCCCTTTAAAGGACTAACAGCAGAAACTCTGTTAGGAGTACATTGAGGCTTGGCTAAGAGCCTACGCATATACTAAACTATTGGAACAGCTCAGCCTAAGAGAAAACATTGCTTGATTGACAGCTCTCACTGTGATCTCTTCTATCAATTGCACAATGTTCACTTACCCAAGATAAATTAGGTGCAAGTGCTTGCAATTTCTGCAATTGATATTTGATACTTTAAAGAATGTGTCTGATTGACATCCTTAAAGCAGCTTTTTTAAGAAATTAGAAAAGTATAAACTATTTTGAAGAAAGCATTTTAAACATATCCTTTTGCCAATGTAGGAATCATTGGTACAATACAATGGGCATATCAACATGGAAGTGCATAGCTTGGCTTGGACGGTATGAGAGACCGTGGCAGAGCATGGGTTGGTATGGATGGTGCATGGGATTGCTTGGGGTGTGAAGGGTGAGGTCAGGTGGGCCTTACTGTTTTTATTATAACTGGGATGAAGTCCCACAGCACTGAAGTCAGGCTTTTAAACAGTCTGCCCTCAGTACCCAGCAGCCCTTGTGGCTACCTCTGAAATCCTTCCGGGGTCATCTGGCCTGATGGCAGCTTGCACATCTCAGGGATTTTCCCAAGTCCCACTACCTTCCTTGAAGATGAAAATCCAGCTCAATCAATCAGTTGACATGCCTACAGGGAAACACATGGTTATGCTGAAAAGGAAATACTGATGAGGCATTGTGCGCTGGGCAGTGTTTGAGGCTATCTGGTACAGGCTATAGCTTGTTCTGTATGCAGATTGCCCCTTGAGCTATACATGGATGCAAGTCTTTTTCTAACAAGCCTTATTCTAACAATATAACATATAAAGTGTAGAGTAAAACTCTCTTGGCTCTGTTGCAAAACATTTTCCTTAACCTGTTTCAGAGGTGTATGTATCCCTTACTACTCTTCATAGTGATACTTCTGTTTCCTACATTATTCTGTGGCCTTTCTGTCTTAATTCTGTTCTTTGCCAATTAAGGCAAAATTGTGTTAATTTTTATAAAGAAGATATAAGTTTGCCAAAATTAAACTTTAATGTACCTAATTTTCTTTTGACGACAATTAAGAATATATTTTTCTAAATGCAATAAAAACCTCGGCTTTACTTATGTGCCCAAACACTTCTTCAATGAGCTTTCAATATATATACCTGCATCACATAATGTAAAATCAGAATGCAGGTGTGTTGGAATGCAGAATGGACAAGAATCCTATGAATGTAGATGTATTTCTAACTTTGAGTAGTCCATTGTGCTTATCTTACTAAGGGACAGATTTGGAAGATCTATTGTTAGTAAACCCTTAATGAACAAATTTCAACCGCATATATCCATTTTAAAAAGACCCAGTAAGCGCATGCCTGTGGAACACATGCAGTGTTGACAACATATTCAAGCCTTTCATTTGTGACAGTTTAGCTAATATGGTGTAGCGCTCCAAGGGGAAAATGGAACAGAAAATGACCAAAAATGTAAGCCAATCAAGTTTTCAGTCTCAACAATTTGAAGCAGTGCAAACTGTTAAAAAAATGAATTCATTTCATAATTTGACACTGATCAGAGCATGCTTCTATAGGCAAATGATATTTTCCTTAACATTAGTTGATACAGCAAAAAATAATGTTTAAATTCATTCAGTTTACAAACCTAAGACAGTTTTGAAATTTTAGTTTATAATTTTTCACTAGTTTATATTCCATTCTGGCACTATAGCATGATTTATGCACTTAGTGAACAATGCTGTATTTAGTCTGTAGTCCTGGCTTCTGTTGAAATGACATGACACAGTATGAGGTATTTGTGCTGTTATACTCTTAATTACAGTTTTAACACAGCTCTTTATTTCAGCAGATTGCTTTAATTACAATCGATAAAGCAATCAGTCAGAAAACATGCAGAAGCCTCAGTTGCCTTTTGAGAACATTTACAAAGTGATTATATACTTAGAAAAGTATGTATATTTGGTATCTCCAATGATGACGATCACGATGATTTCAGTTTTTGATCTAATGCTAAAAATTACATTTGTATCACGTGGACTATTGATAATAAGTCAGCCAGTTTGAGATACAAATAGGTTGGCCACTGATTCAATCCAGAGCATATTAATGAGAGTCTGATGTTCATTGGGTGTTGAAAAATTGTTTCGATGAAAGTCTGTTACTGGCAAGTTTGCTTCAGCTTTATTTTCATAATTCCTGATTGAGACCAACAATGAGCTGCCAGAATGAGTTAGACATGTTTAATAATTACAAGCGTACTAGATAATCAACACAAACTGAATCGAGGCATACGGTCAGATTTTCATAGATGCAGCCTAACTCTGAAGGCCTTTAAAAATATTCGGCAGCACCTGGATGTGGAAGATCTGCCTCATTTCTAACAGATCCTATTTTTCCCAAAAAGGAATGGGGATGATTGTGAATCCCACAGGCAGGAATGAGAATTCCAGAAATCTATTCTAAATTAGTGCTGTGTTGATATGAACTACATTTCCCCTATTCTAAGGGCCTTAGCTTTCAGTATGGGTGTCATCAATTTATGGAGGGGGTGTAAACACTTATGAAAAGCAGATGAAGTATGTTTTATTGTCATGATCTGAAGTGATCTTATTCCCTAGCACTTTAAAAATGAAAAACTAGACTGCAGTAAAAAGTAGACACTGGCTCCTGAAGCTGTGCATTCCTGAGTTTCAGTGGACTTTATTGCTGTGTTTTCCAAAGGGCTGCTATTGCAGCTGAGCCCATTCTGAATACTTGTCTGAGTTTTAAACCCACTTATCTGAGCTAGGCAGCTGGAGATGCATTTTGATTGACCCTTTTAAAAAAACTATTGAAGAATTAGTTGTGTTTGAAATGGTCAACAAAGAGAAATTTGTTGTTTGTTTTTACAGTAGATTGAGCACTTGTTAGGATTTAAATCCTTTAAATTGGGTTCATGAATGTGTTCTTTTTCCTCCAAATCAAGTGTGTGTGATCATTCTCTTAGATTGTTAGGAATTTAATTGTTTTTTTCATCTTCATATGGCTTTTGAAGCTTGCTTGTGGTTAATACAAAGCTATGGATGTGGCCTGAAAGGTTTGAGGGGGCATGATGGTGGCTTTGTGTTATGGGGAGTGGGTGCATGTAAGTGATGGAAGGTGGGTAGATAGCCTATCAGCCTTTTAAACAAATTGGTGAAAGCATTAAAAGATTGAGACAAATCTTTAACCAAACCACGTTGCCAATCATCTACTTCCATGGATGTCATTAGACAGCTTCTGGAGGTGATGGGACCAAACCGGCTATGCTTCAATCCCTGGAGTCAAAAAGGAATGCAACAGGAGCTTGTTTCCATAGAGATGGGTCTGCCAAGTCAGGAGATTTCCTGCCTCAAGTTTCCCATCTCGCTGGTGAAAATCTGCCTCATACTTTTCAATGAGTTTTAGCTTAAAGGAAGTGATTGAGAAAAACTAAACTAAGACAAAGAATTGCAGATGTTGGAGATCTGATAAAACAAAATTGGAAATTTCTGGAGAAACCCATCTGGCCTGGCAGCATCTGTGGAGAAAGAAAGAGAGTTAACATTTTGAGTGCAGTGACCCTTCTTCAGAACTCAAGAAAGCGTCATTTACCTGAAGGGTCCAACCAGTCCATGCAGACCATAATCCCAAACTAAACTAGTCCTGCCTGCCTGCACTTGTCCCATATCTGTCTGAACCTTTCTTATTCATGTACTTATCCAAATATTTTTTAAACATTGTAACTATACCTGCATTCATCACATCCTCTGGAATCTCATTCCACACACGACCCACTGTCCGTGTAAAAAAAGTTACCCCTCATATCCTTTTTAAATCTTCTCTTCTCACCTTAAAAATATCCCCCCTTGTCTTGAAATCCCTCACCGTAGGGAAAAGATACCTGCCATTCACCTTATCTACACCCCTCATGATTTTAAAAACCTCCATAAGGTCACCCCAAACCTCCTACACTCCAACGAAAAAAGTCCAAGTCTATCCAGCCTCTACCTATAACTCAAACCTTTCATTCCTGGCAACATCCTGGTAAATATTTTTTTTGAACCATCTCCAACTTAATTAAATCCTTCCTAAAACAGGGCAACGCGAACTGTCCTTAATGAGGAATAAGCTGTGGCTTTATATTGGACTTTTCTTGCAAATAAATGCAAAATGAATGTGTATTTCTCTTTTCTTAGTGTTACAAGAGCTCCAAAGACCATCAGCCTCACATGGAACTACCACTCAATGTGTGCAATGTTATTTATGTGCCTAAAGACGGTCGGCGCAAAAAACATGAACTAAGGTTCTCCCAACCAGGAACAGAGGCACTGGTATTAGCTGTACAAAGCAAAGAGCAAGCAGAAGAATGGTTAAAGGTGCTGGTAATAATTTATAGTAAATGCATTACAATCATGAATACCAAGATTTTAATAGTACACCATTGTGCAAAATATTCCCGCATGTTTTGTAAATTTTGCATGTTGAAACAATATCTTTCTGGCTCAGAGGAGTATGTCAAAACTGCTGTTATATTTCTGGTTATGATAAGCTAGCAGAACGTCTGTAGGAGACTCGAATACAAGGTTGTATCCAGCTGCTTTGTTCAATGTTTAAGAGCCACAGATGTTTCATTTGAGAGTGAAGAACTAAAGCAATTTATTAGCCAAAGAAAAGGGATTGTAGCACTCATCCCATTATCCCCATTGCTTCCTTCAACACTGCAGATCACTCCACTGGAATAAATCTCAATTGCTTACACTTTATAGTGCTGACGTTTCAACTAATTTCAAATGTTCAAAGTTTCAATTTGATCAGTCATAAAAAATGAAGGTATGTACAATGATGCACCGCTAGTGTCAGAAGGAAATTTACAAAATCCAAATCTCTCCAGAATTAGCCATGTCCCTAAGCTGACTTTACCAGTTCAGTTGCACCGCTTGCAATGTGAAAAATTGTCTGGTTATAGTTTGTTTATAAAAAGCAGAACAAATCTAACCCAACCACTTATCACCCGATCAGTGACTCTCCATGATCAGTAAAGTGAAGGAAGGAATCGTTGACAGTGCTAACAAGTGTCACTTCCTCAAGAATAACCTGCTCACGGATGCTCAGTTTGAGTTCTGCCGGGATCACCTCATTTCTGACCACATTACAGCCTTGGTCCAAACATGGATTAAAAAGCTGAATTCCGGAGGTGAAGTGACAGTAACTGCCCTTGACGTCAAGGCTGCATTGACCGGGTGTATGTCAATGAACTCTAGCGAAACTAGAGGTGATGGGAATCAGATGGAAGGAATCTTTCCACTGGTTGGACTCGTACCTGGCAAATGGGAAGATGGTTATTGCAAGTCAATCACCTCAGCCCCAGGACATTATTAACAGGAGTTCCTCAGGGGAGTGTGTTAGGCTTCACCATCTTATCTGTTTCATCTCCATCATAAAATCAGAACTTCTTTTTTCATGATTGATCAATGTTAAGCATCATTCATGACCCTTAGATACTGAAGCTGTTCAGGTCCAAATGTAGCAAGGCTTGAACAATATCCAGGCTTGGGCTGACAAGTGGGAAGTATCAAGCAACTGCCTGGCAATTGCCATCTCAAATAAGAGAGAATCTAACCATCTTCCGTTGTCATTCAATGGCATTATCATTTTTGGAACCCACATGGTCAACATCCTGGTGGTCACCATTGATCAGAAATTGAACTGAACTGACCATATAAACACAAGAGCAGGCCAGAGGCCAGGAATTGTGTGGTGAGTAATTCACCTTCTGTCTCCCCAGGGCCTGTCCACCATGTACAAGATGAAAGTCAGAAGTGCAATGGAATAATATCCCCTTGTCTGGATGACTGCAGTTCCAACAAAACACAAAATTCTTGACACTATCCAAGACTAAACAGCCTACCCACCACCTTCAACATTCACCCCCTTCACCACTAAAACATTCTGGTAACATTGTGTATCATCTACAAGATGCTTTGTACCAACTCATCCTGACTTCCTTAATCTTACAAGACCTAGATACCTAGATTACAAGAGCAGCGATGCATAGGAATACTACCATCTACAACTTTCCCTCCAAGTTTCACATCACCGTGAACTGGAACTTTTTCACCATTGCTTCTCTATCACTGGGTCAAAATCCTAGAACTCCCTTCCAAGCAGCTCTGCGAGGGAAGCTACACAACAAATATTCTGGTGATTCAAGAAGGTAGCTCACCATATCCTTCTCCAGGCCGTGAGAGTCTGGTCTAGTCAGCATCACTTACAGCCCATGAACAAACAAAGAGAAAATACTTTAAACAGGAGGTAGTGGAGTATTAAGGAAACAAGTTAACCATACGTCCACAAACATCAGACATTCCATCTGTTGGAGTTTATTTAATATTGCCCATTCATCCTAACTGTACAATGTTATCAATCCTTACATAAAAATTTGAGATAAAGAAAGAGAGTTAGAACAGAATGGGTAACAATAGTTAAATATATTTGAAAAATCAGATTTTGAATGAACTACCAATCACACGTTCCCAACACCAAGACAACTTATTTGCACTACTGTAATGCCACCTGACTTTGCCACAGTCTCTGCCTCTTTGCCAACATTACTACTGCCTCCATCCTCAGTCATGTCTTTATTAACTCTAGACCTAATTATTTCAGTGTATGCATGGCTGACGTGCCATGTTATATTGCATTTAATGTTATCCTAAAACTTTTCATCTATGTCTTAACTTGCACCAAGTCCCATTCACCATCACCCCTCTGCTGTCTGACCTACATTGGCTTTATTGAGTAATAATGTCAACTTTAAATGTCGCATCCTCGTTTTGAATCCCTTCCTCGGCTTCATTGCTGCTTATCTCATCAAGCTTCTCCAGCCCCATGATCGTCAGAAAATCTTGTATTCATCTAATTCTGATCTCTTGATTATCAGAATCTTAATTATCCCTTATTGGTGGCTGCACCTTCAGTTGCCCCAAAGTTGGGAATTCCCTCTTCACATCTCTCTGCTTGTCAGTTTCAAATTTCTTTCTTCAAGATGCTCCCTAAATCCTAGCTCTTTGATCAAGCTTTTTGGCACTTGACTTAATATTTCAAGTGGTTCATTATCATTGTAGTTTAAAATGCTCCTGTGAATCATCATAGGATGTTTCATTGTATTAAAGGCCTCTAGACAAAATATAAGTTGTTAGAGACAAAGAAACTGCAGATGCTGGAACCCAAGGTAGACAGACAGGAGGCTGGAAGAACACAGCAGGCCAGGCAGCATCTGGAGGAACGGAGCAGTCAATGTTTCGAGTAATACTAAGTTGTTATCTATTAGCATAGTGAAGGGTGTTAGAGATCACTCAGTGAGTCTATGCTGCTGTGGCAAAACATACTTCTACATGCCTGTTGTAGTCTGTAGTTATGGAAAGTGAGACTTCAACTTGCTGTTCATTGTATTGGCTGGCCAGGAATTTCTCCTACTCTTATCACCTATCATTGGCATGCATTAGAAGGATTTACAAGGTGATACTCAACCTAGTTTGCTGCACCATGGAATTAACCTTCCTTGGCCATCAGGCCTTAGGGTAGCACTTCTGGGTCAGAGGCACCCATGGTGCTATAAGACTTTTGTATTACAGTAATAATATACTCTTATTCAAACAGGTGTCAAGCACATCATCTGAAAAAAAATCTAATGTATATTGAAATTGCTCTCTAAGGACATATTCATTACTTAAGTAACAAGACTGGCTACTTGTTTAGAACATGAAGGAAGGGGTCTTTTCTAATAAAATAAATCATAGTATTGCGTAACAAGATATTATTTGTGACATCTTAATTCCAGGATTTCAAATTAAAGTAAATCATCTTGTAAATATAAATAGAAGATTGATTCTGTTACCCTGTAGCTGCAGTATTTTATGCCGTAACCTAAGGGAGTCTTTTGAAGAAATCATATTCCTTTAATTGAAACTATAGACAGCAAACTAATTCTAATTCAAATAAATTCTCCACATGACTCTTCTTTGATGACTAAGAGTATAAGCACTGCCTAATGGTATTAGCAATTACAATAAAGGAAATAAAAGAAAAGGGTCAAAAGAATAACCATGTAACTTGCGCGTGCGTGTGCACTGCCACATTTGAACTAAATCTCTCAGAATTTCCATGGATCATCTTCAGAATGCTGAAGCAAGTTAAAGGATTGTATGCATTAGATTTTGTTTATGTCAGTCTTGAATTATCGCTTAGGGAAGCTGAGAAAGAAAATAGATACCCTTCTGGAGTGAATTTTGTTTTTATTGGTGTGGATCATAATCCTAACTACTTTTGTCTGATATCTGATCCTTTTGAATTTTCCATTCCGTTTTCCTGCTGATCGTTCACAGTTTCTCAGAGGGAATCAGAGTATTGGATTATTTCAGTCATGAAAACCTTATCTCCTCATCAAGATAGTTTGATCCCACACTAGGCCTATATACTTGACTGTGAAATTGTACTGCAGTTTCCTTGCATTGTTTCACACATGGATTTCAGTGTTAAATCTTTTGAGAAATGCTTAAAGCGGAACGACAAGTCCAGACATAACCTCAGCTGATCTGACCATAGACAGTCTATTGACCTGGGTCACCAAAAGAAAAGTGAATGAAAACGCCATCTTGACTGTTACATAAATCCACAACTTGTGCAAATATGGTTTGAATATAAGTCAAAAACATATAGCTCTCTAAACTCTGTCGAATGCATAGTTCCATCGCCTCACCACCAAAATGCTAACTTCTTAATAGTATACCCACTAACTTCTCCCTAATCCAGAAGTTTGATACTTTGACCCCTTTTGCAGTTTATTTGCTCTTTCCTCTCTACATTCTCAAAGTTCTGTTCTAAGCTTTACTTTGTACACCAAATTGGCCCTCACTACTTTCAGTTAATATACCGTCCTAATTTAAACAGCAAGAGAGATTGATTTTATGCTATATTTACTTCCAGTAAGTGCCTCAACTTCAGTGACAGTACTTTGAGAGAAACTTTTGTTTGATTTCAGTGGAAGTTAAATGCGTGTGAGATGTAAAACGGACTGCTGATTTTCCATGTTTCATGTGTTTTGCTTTTATTTCTCTAGATAATTAGGGAAATATGCAGTCAGTGCAGTGGACCTGAGGGATCAACATCACCACTTCTACCAAAATTAGAATTGGAAAAGGTAAACGCATGATAGATTTGAATTTAAATTAACTTTTTTATGCCTAATGATACACAATTAAAGTTCAGATCTACTTCACTCTGAAAATATTAGTTAAAAGTAGACTGGAATATGTTGATGATAGAAGTAGCAGAAGAAGCACACAACTTTGCTGCAAAGGTTGCTTACGTTGCTTCACAATTTGTAAAGCATTTCTTGGGCAGTTGCTTCAAACTCTGCTGCTTCGGGGATTCTTATTGCCATTGCCTGAAACGTAACTGCCATCCAGAAATGCCTATCTGGTCATTGTCAGAAATCAGATGACACCAGGTTATGGTCCAACAGGTTTATTTAAAATAACAAGCTTTCAGAGTGCTGCTCCTTCATCAGGTGAAGATCTCCACATCACATCTGCCCATTGGAGGGTCTGGACTAATAAAGTGCCCAAATGAGTCTGTATGGATGCATCATGTGGTATAAAACATTCTGGAATATCCATCTTGCATTTGATGTGCATTAAGATATGTTATTTCAGTCATGTTTGAGGGATAAAAACGTCAACTATTATTATTGCTCTTGATTTGTTTTCCAAACACTCCTGTTGGAAAGTACATGTGTGAGGAATTAAGCTAAGGGTAGAGTCAGGCTTGTTTTGTTTTGTGCCGCAGTGGTAGCATCCCTACCTCTGAGCTAGAGGGTCTGGGTTCAAGTCCAACCTTCTCCAGCAGTGTGTAATAACATCTCTGAACAGTTTGATTAGAAAATATATGCAGCATTAACCACATATTCTGGTTAAAATAGCAAGTCAGGGTTGCTTTTGTTTTTGAGGGGTCTTGTGGTACAGTGGTAGTGTCCCTACCTCTGGGCCAGAAGGCCTGAGTTCAAGTCCCACCTGCTTGAAATGTGGATAATAACATCTCTGAATGGGTTAATTTAGGAAAAACACAGTCAGGCTTGGTTTTCCTGATCCAGCTCAATTTTTATTGAGCCCCTCCCTCCCTCTCTCCCTACCTTGCTTCACTTTTGGTGGTCTGTGTTCCCCTTTGCATATAATTTGATTAATTGGAAACACAGATGATTTATTGGTGGTGGATAATAGGTGAAAAGTACTACGGGTGGTTTGGTGGTTGAAAGAAAGCTGTTTGGGTGTGTGTGATAACACTTCTGGACATAAGAAAAACAAAGAAAAGTCAGGCTTGGCTTTATGTTTGAATTGCTACTGATACTGTGTTAGATGCAGATCTTATGTAGATAAGAGCCAAATGGACAAAATATTCGAGAGCTACTGGTGGCAGTGAATCCGTTGCAACAGTGTAATTTGTCATCTTCATAGAACAAGGGAAGAATAAAGAGGATAGAAAACAAAAACTCTTGGGTATATTCCTCTCATTCCATGTATTGGCAGAAATCAGAGAATAGATCATTTTCTCAACTTCTTTAATTGGAAAACCACACCAGCACATATGGAACACAATGAGTGAAGATGGAAGAAATACTTAATTTGTTTAGGGAAAATATATTTAACTAATAATGATGACCACAGAAAACTAAAACAATTGGAACATCTGAAAATAGTCCAATATGTTGCTTTCTTATTCTTACTAATGAATAGAAAGAGCATCTATTCACATTTATCTGGTCTTGGTTAATTTTATTTTGACAATGAATTTACTGCATCAACAGTTACAATTCCTTGATGTGTGTGTGCCTGTACAAAGACTTGATACAATGATTAACCTTTGCTTCAATGGAATTAGTCTTATGCACTATAAGAAAGTTTGAAGATTTGTTGGTATGATATAAGTAAGAGCAGATATTTCTTTCATCAAATCTGTTGTCACCTTTTTAATTTGTGGTCTTTTACACAGGTCTATTAGCTAAGTAGTAAATAAATCACACTATATTACTGCATCTCAGTGAATGAGTTGGCAATAGATTTTGGCTATGTAATGACTTCATGTAAATAGGGTCAATAAGGTTCTTAAGCTTTCTTTTTAACATCGGCTTTGACCAGAACTTTCTCATTGTTGTCAGAATAACAATCAGTACACAGAAGATAAGACTTCAACAGCTGTTTCCATTAAATCTTAAATTACTAAATCATTGCTCACAATGCTAACTATGAGGTAATGTTAGAAAATACTGCCAGCAAAAGTCATCTGCTGCATGTGTTGTTCCCCAGAAAGGTGAATATGAGTGATTACATCTACACATATTTGCATAGTGCTGAAACATATTTTGACCACAAATGGGCCATAAATTTACACAAGATAAAGAATTTGCTAAATAGAAATCTTCAGATGGTTTATGAACAGAATATAAAACTTTCGGATAGCATCTATAAGAAAAACCATCAAGAAGATTCCTTTCAAAGCATATTAAATATTGAAATCAAAATACTTAACCTCACTAATTTTAATGAAAAACTAAACAAACATAAAGAGTAATATCCCACTACATTTTTATCAAAGTTAGCAAAGATGAGAATTTCAGCCTCATTGTGAGAATTGCTGTTCTTGCTGGTATCCCATTCACATTATGCACCTCGAGGCAAATGTCTGGGAAACAAGAGTAAGACTTCCTAGTATTGTAAAAACAAAAGATTAATCTTGGTTTCCGTGCCTTTCTACAGAGATTATCAAATGAAAAACAGGCCTCAGATGCTGAGAGTGTAGTGATAGGGGATAATGGATCGCCACTTAATGGCAGAGAAAGTAGAGAACATGGTAAGTCATTACATTGCAAAGTAAACAATTATTTTCAATGCCTTGTTTCCAGTTGTATCAGTCCTTTCTGAAGCAAACTCTGAAAGTAACTTTACTATTGTGCCATCAATATGAATGAGGTGTTTCAAAATAAGAATTAAAATATTGCTTTGCAGGTTATAGGCAAATCGCTAAGGTTTTGTTTTCTTAATTTGACCAATTTGCCTCTCCCATGCTGCATGAGTAAGTAGGATAATACTTCGAGAAGTTAGACCATGTGACAGTCAACTGGTCTTTAACCGTCCTTTCTCATGTATCTGTATGCTCATATACTTAAACCAAGAACGTCCACTCTCTATCAAAATAAAAACTGAAAGAACTGTGGATGGTGTAAATTAGGAACAAAATGGAAGTTGTTGGAAAAGCTCAGCGGGTCTGGCAGCATCTGTGAAGAAAACGTCAGAGTTAACATTTCGGATCCGGTGACACTTCCTCAGAACCCAATTCTGAGGAAGGGTCACCAGACCCGAAACGCTAACTCTGAGTTTTTCTTCACGATGCTGCCAGACCTGCTGAGCTTTTCCAGCAAGTTCTGTTTTTGTTCCACTTTCTATCAGTTTGAATGCAATAATGTTATTCAAATTAATAAATCTTCTGCTCCAATCTGATAGAATAAAACCTGCAGGGGAGAAATGCTTTTAGGGTTTCAAAGAGATAGATGTGTATTTTGATTCTAAATAAATAAAGCAGTGAGATTAAAATATGAACATGATAATTTATTGCAAGTGAGCCTAAATATTAGAAAGCAACTTGTATGCAGATTCTAACTGTTTACTTAATTTTTATATAAATTGAATAGATTAAAATAAAATCATTGTTTACTATTATATACTAGGGGTACCATGGCAGATGGCGGAATTTGAATTCAATGATAATCTGGAATTAAGCATCTAAAGATGACCATGAAACCATTGCCGATTGTCAGGAAAAACCCAGCTGGTTCACTAATGTCCTTTAAAGGAAGGAAATCTGCCATCCTTATCTGGTCTGGCTGACATGTGACTCCAGACCCACAGCAATGTGGTTGACTCTTAACTGCTCTTTGGGCAATTAGGGATGGGTAGTAAATGTTGGTCTAGCCAGCGACACCCACGTTCCATGAATGAATAATAAAAAAAAACAAATTACATTAAAAGTGCAATGAACCTCAGGGGTTAGCTGTTATCTAACCTGAAAGGTGCATATCAACTTAACATGTGAATATTGAAGTGATAATGCTTATCACTGACAAAGGGCTGATATCAATAGGGCTGATCTGCAGACATTCAACATGTATGAGCCTTGTACACAAAAAAATCAGTAATGTGATCACACTGGAGAGCTATTCTAAGCAAATTATATAAGGCACAGAAAATTGGCAGCTTTCATATCAGGCTTTTGAAATGTAGCTCTGAGCAGAGTTTGAACACAACATTGAAAAGGGTCTAGGCCCGAAACGTCAGCCTTCCTGCTCCTCTGATGCAGCTTGGCCTGCTGTGTTCATCCAGCTCTACACCTTGTTATCTCAGATTCTCTAGCATCTGCAGTTCCTACTATCTCTGATTGAATTCTCTCCTCCTAAATTCCTATGTCAGCAGTAACAACAAGACAAATCTTCTGAAGATCTATCAGCATGCTGGAAACTATAAAATAGGAGGGGAACTTCTGAGTAACAAAAAGATGTTGGCATTCATATTGGACATGGGATGAGGCCGGGGGGTGGGAAGAGTTTTAAAATCTCCCCGTCCCCAGCCTCATCCCATGTCCAACCCTCCCTCTCATCTCCGCCTTCTTGACCTGACACAAACTGTCCATCTTCTCTCCCACCCATCCACTCCTCCCACCTCACTGACCAATCCCCATCACTGCCTACTGCACTCACCTAACACCATCCCACCTACCTTCCCCAGCCCCACCCCTCCTCTCTATTTATTTCTGAGCTCTCTTCCCCCTCCCTATTTCTGAAGAAGGGTCCCAACCAGTCAGCTTTCCTGCTCCTCTGATGCTGCCTGGCCTGCTGTGTTCCTCCAGCTCCACACTGTGTTATCTCTGACTCCAGCATCTGCAATACTTGCTATCACCATAGGAGTGGGGTAGGTAGTTAAATGAGTCGCATTGGACAAAATATGGCGAGAGAATTTGTCAGACCTTGCAGCAAGAAACCGTCCAACAAACCTGATAAAACTGACACTTAGCCAAGAAAAGAAAGATTCAGCCCTGCATTTAAAATATTCTAATGACACAAAAAGGAATGTTGCAAATCTTTCTGAAACTTGCTTTATTTCTGAAATGTTAATAACTTCAAAAAAGCCAGAAAAACAAGCTCAAGTCTGTGTATGACTATTGAAATCTTGAGCATGTAACTAACCTAAAGGAACAGGCATCTGACGAGATTAACTTTAATTAGGAGAGAGGCTGGTTTCACGAGGGAGGAGCTTGTGCTCAATTCTGGTTCTGAAAGCCTACTCATCAGTGAAAGGACAGACCTAATTGCATTAAATTAGATGCTAAAAAATGCTTCCCCAAATCTCTCAGAAGCCAGTTACCATAATTTATCTCCTAAGGGAAATGGTTGAATTACTGATTGAGGATAGTTTTTTAAATGAGATGGATCAACGTTTACAGATTTTATTGTAGGAAACACGGCTGGAATTTTTTTATGCTGCCAGTGACATTTTCTTCACTGCAAGGCAGCCAGACAAAGAACACACCAGATCAGTGTGTGTTTGCGTTAAGCACTGTATATTGATAGCAAGATATTTCATTAGAATGAAATTCAAGATCCTGCAGCTAAATAATAGTATGCTTGGCCTGGATTTAACAGACTTCCTTGGGACACACTGGTACATGGTGGTGGCTGTAAGTTTTGTGCATGCTGTTGGCACATTTCTTAGCACCTACTACCAAACCCACCCATGGTCTTACTGGCATGGGGAGAGTTTTGGGACGCCTACTCACAAGGGGCCTGTAAATGGCCAATTAAAACCACATAAGAGTTTCATCCTGCAGCCACTGGCATTTAACCCTTAGCACAAGAGGCCACTCACAAAGTATGCAACCTCACAGTCTTACTGTTCAGGCTGGTGACCAGGTGCAAAGGCAGGACACCTCCTTTAGGAGCGACCTTTACTCTGCCTTTTTCACCAACAGCCCTACCCACCCACCTCACATCCCTCACTGGTTACTGTCAACCTGGTCCCAGCAATATTCCCTTCAATTCTGCAATACTTGCCTTTATATCCGACTCCCATCGGTCTGTTGTTGGGGACTGGATACATCCCCAGCAGAAACCCCACGCTTGGTGGCACTATTGGGCTAAGGGAGCTGCCAGCTACAGACGAGGCACATGACATTCCTTGAGCCAACTAATGGCACAAGAGTGAGAGGTAACAATGCAGGGGCAAACACACTCCTGACCTTTACATTAGGGACATAGATGTCGCATTCTGCTTTCCATTCTGGAAAGTCTTTTTCTGTGAATGTCTATTTAATTTTGTATCGATTTACTTTTTGTCTAGTACTTTTTCATTTAGTTATATCCTCATATCATAAATCTATGGGAACTGGTAAAGGAGATCTTGGCTATGAAGGCTTTATTTCATTATTTGAAGGTTTGAGAGCTTCCTGTCTTTTTCTTTATGTTTGCCAGAATCAAGAAGGCCATTTAAGCTGGGACTTTCAAATCTGAGCTAGGAACCTGGCTGATTAGATCAGAATTATTACTTAGAACAGGATTTTCATCAGTTTCACATTGTGTATTGCACACAACATACTTTATGGATAACAAAGTAAAAGACATTTTCAGCAAACAGATGCATTCAGGCTATCAGATGCGGCTTCCAAATAAAATAGAATTTTAAGGGTGGTATTTAATTGAAATGATGTGTCGGAGATACCGACTGGAGAGCTGGTGAAAGCCCTGGAGTGCTTCTTTTTGGAAGAGTATGCCAAAGTAAGCGGCAATCAGGTGATTTGCTGGATTACAGTGAACATTCCCAGAGATCAAAGACCCCAGAAGTGAACATCCAGCCCAGCAGAGACCAGTAGCTCGTCACCGCCCGGCAATGCCAGCATGGAGTTGGTGCAGCTGCCGATACTACACCCAGCCGAGGCCTAGGATCACCATAGACCCGGGCACAGCTGAGTGATGACAGGGAGCTGGTGTCCCAGGATTTCAAGGATGGATATCATCAACCAGAGAAAACGGGTGGCTCTCAACTTGCCCCTTTCCGATGCCAAGTCCCTCAATTGGGCGCTGAGTGCCTTTAACCAAGGTCTGAACCACCCTGAACCCCTTGCCCTTACTTCACAGTTCCCAGCATCACAAGTCATGCAATTACTGCTAGTTGAAACAAAACCAGAAATTGCTGGAAAAGCTCAGCAGGTCTGGCAGCATCCGTGAAGAGAAATCAGAGTTAACATTTCAGGTCCAGTGACTCTTCCTCAGAACAGACCCAAAACATTAACTCTAATTTCTCTTCACAGATGCTGCCAGACCTGCTAAGCTTTTCAAGCAATTTCTGTTTTTGTTTCTGATTTACATCGCCCGCAGTCCTTTTGATTTGTATACTGCTGGCTGAATACTACTTAAGGGCCTCATTTGGTGGTAGCGCAGCCAGGTCATCCACTGGCAATCCTGCCACAAGCTTAATTGGCACATTAGCAAGAAAGAGATGGAATCTCCACCCATCACTCTGCTTTTTGATTAAAGGCCTCTCCACCGCAAAGCACACAATCAGGGAGAACATTAAATTCCACTCTGTGTTTCTGTCAGGAATCTTGTAAACATTCTGTCCTCTTTGTTCATTTCAAATTAGACACCCCAAAATTCATTAATCTCCTTTAACATATTGTCACCTCCCTATTTGTATGCCTGATGTATTTTAAATACCACATTGAAATCTTCAAACTGTTCATTGTTTACATTAGCCAGATAAAATACACAAATTATTATTTCTCTTTAAAGTAGTAACATTTGCTTGACACAAGCCAGGCTTTGTTATAGACGTAAAAGACATGTGCATGTTGCTTTTTGCTAAAAAATATATATATGTCATAGTCTGAAGAATAACATGATCTGTTGAATAACTATTCTCTATCTTGCAAAAGCCCTCCTTAGCATTCCACAAGCAAGATTGCAGCTTTCTTTTTATGTAAGACATATACATCAATGTGACTTAATTTTATTATTTATCATCATCTAGTGAAAGGGAAGAGAAGTGGCTTAGCCGAACTGAAAGGCACAGTTAGCAAGGCTGCAGGGAGGAAGATCACGCGCATCATAAGTTTGGCTAAGAAGAAGCAAGCTTCCGAAGAACAGACTTCTTCAACAGAAGAGGACATTCCATGCTGTGGTTAGTACTAGCCCTACGTTCCGTAACTTGGATCCATAAATATTTCCAGCATATTCATTATTGTAACTGTTGTCATATGACCAAATATTAGCCGTGCTTATAATTCAGTTTTGTTTTAACTCCAACCCCAACATTACTTTCAAGATTTCAGATGACTGTGAATACACAGCACCTGTGCAATCCAAACAAGATCCTTGTTACAAAAGGAAGAACTTGCTACATTAGGAATTCCCATGATCTCAGCCTCAAGTAGATTTGATCTATTCTTGAAACAGTATATGAACTGCCCCCATGACGGAGTTATGGCTCACCTAGGAAATTGCAGTCTTGACAAAAAAATTTAAAAGGAGTTCTCCTTTGCAACTATCAATCTCCTTACAAAGCAGCCAGTAATTTGCCTCTTTAAGAGGGGATAAACTCTAATTATTTCAGGTGCGCTATTTGTCTTGACTAAAAGGTAGACAGGACCTTGAGAACCTCCTTCAGATCTTGAAATGTCTATTGGGATGAGCAGTGGAGCTTCCCAATGGGCATTCCCTATACTTACATTTGGATGCAGCCTTTGGAAATTTTCAATAACACTCTGCCTTTGTATGCATCACTACCTTTATAATGTCATAACGTGTGAATTTGGTGAAGTTGTAACATAGTGACATTTCCGATAAGCAGAGAGTATAGATCAATGAAACCCACACTCCCAACCATCCCTTCTTACTGTGATTCTGGTACCAATTAGCCAAAATGTCCTTTCCTAATGGGAACCTGGAAATACCAGAAATATTTACCATGTCATGCAGCATCTGTGGGCAGAAAGAAAGGTAAAGTTTCAGGCTGATGATTTTAGCATAGAACAGAATCCCCACAGCGTGGAAAGAGGCCATTCACCCCATCGAGTCTGCACCAATTCTCTAAAGACCATCCCATCTAGACTGAGGCCCAGCCCCCTGTCCTCTCCCTGTAACCCCACATTTACCTTGGCTAATCCTCCTGGACTGCACATCCCTAGACACTATGGACAATTTAGCATAGTCGATTTCAACCTAATCTGCACATAGAATCCCTACAGTGCTGAAGCAGACCATTCAGCCCATCGGGTCCACACTGCTCTTCCGAAAAGCATCTCACCCAGACTCACCCACTACCCTATCCCTGTAACACTGCATTTCTTATGGCTAATCCACTTAGCCTGCACATTCCTGGACAATTTAGTATGGCCAATCCACATAACCTGCACATCATCGGACAGTGGGAAGAAACTGGAGCACCTGGTGGAAAGCCACACAGACACGGGGAGAATGAGGACAGCCTCCCAAGGTTGGAATTGAACCTAGGTCCCTGGGTCTGTGAGGCAGTAGTGCTAACTACTGAGCCCATTTTCCATCAGAACTGGAAAAAGTTAGACATGTACCAGGCTTTAAGCAAGTGCAGAGATACAGAAAGGGGAAAGAGGAAGAGCTACAGGGAAAAACTGAGAGTGGGTGACAGGACAGAATAACTGTCAAAAGATAAATTGGTGCAAAGCAAAAGGTCATGAGACAAGACGAGAAACAAAGAATGGATCTAGAGAAGGTGTAAATGGTGATAACAGAATCATTACCAACAGCTGCTTTCTGAAGATATAAGGATTTTAGTTATCATCTGAAATTATTAAATGCGGTGCTGAGTCCAGAGGGCTTTATGATGCCTAATCAAAGGTGAGTTTCACTGGTACAATATAGGAGGTCAGGGACAAGGCAGTCAGCATGGAATTGTAACAAAGAATTAACCCAGCAGACAACCAATAGCTCAGACTGTGCTTGCTGACGACGTGGAGCTGTTCAATTAATCTGCATTTGATCTCCTATAAATAGAGGAAATCACATCATTAGCAGCTATTTTGAAAGAAATGCATGTAAGTCATATTTTCACCTAGAAGGAATGTTGATGGCCCCGGATGGTGAAAGGAAAGAGGTAAAAAGAGTATGTGTTGTACCTCCTGCATTTGCTGAAGAGGAACCCAACTGTCCTTCTGGGAGAGAGGGGAAGGGTTAATATTAACAGTAAGGATAAAGGGGCAGGCACAGTCAAGGGCCAGATCAACTACTGTAAGAGGAATCCTCAGTTGCAGGAGAAGAAAGAAAAATCAGAAAGTTAGGTCTCTAGAGGTTAGCATATGAGTTCATATTTGAAACCTCATAAAATCCCTCCAAACACAGGGGTTTACACACCAAGTATAAAAGTGAGCTGCCACTGTTCTGGACCTAGTGGAAGGTAAAGGAAAAAAGAAAACTTTGAGGGCACATTGGAGGCACGAATTAAATTTAATTGTAAATGGATTATCACTTGTGTAAATATATGTTCACTTTGCATCACCTGCATGGACGAGAATGAAAGTAGAGAGGGAAGCATTGCATGATACTACAATCCGATTTTAAAGTTAGCTATTCTATTCTTTTCATAGTGCCTATACTGGCATAAAATTCCATTATTATTGAATGAAGGAGCATCAGATGTTGCAAACGCTTCCATCAGTTTGTAATGCTCCCTTTTATTAACCAATCGTAAAGTAAAGTAAAGAAGGAACAAACTGGTAATATATTATCCAAGAAAGGCAGCAATGTGTACAAGATGATGGTGTGCACTTTTTTAGTCTCAAGTATGAGGGAAGCAGCTTCAGGACTTTGTTCAGTCAATGGACCTTGGAATGTGTTTGTGAATTGCTGAATATAAGTGAAGCTTTACAACTCAACTGGTGTTATTTCTGCCTCACAGGATTAATGTGTAATGATCAATGACATAGTTAATATTAATTGTGGTGAGGATTTTTAATCAACACAGTTGGTCAATACATGTGGTTCTGTGATTACAGATGTCTTATAGCTGTACTGTGTAAGTGCCTGATTAAAGAAATTGCCTCTGAAGGGACTCACATCACTCACAGTTAGATTCCACTCCTTCAGACAGAGAAAGCACACTGACTCCAACCACTCCACATGTAATGGCAGGCACTTTCACATTTCCATTGTGCATTTGTGGTTCAGATGAGGATGGAACACAATACAGGTAGTACTTCATGGACTGAGTTGCAGACTCAGCAGCTATCAATGTAGGTGACCCTCCCTTCCTCTGGCCCCCTACCCCCAACCCCATGTTCTTTCCTTTTCTTGCTGTTTTGCACTCCCTAACAGCCCACCAGGTATGACCCTTTCCACATTCCCACACAACCCTTTTAACTGTTTATTTCCCCACCTTACCCTTTGAGCCCCAGGCACACTCTTTAGTACATCGTTATGCACTGCTACCCCATTGAAGCCAGCATGGTGGTGACTATTGAATACTACTCCTTCCCTGTGCCTTGGTCTGTTGTCTCCCATATGTTGAGTATCCCCTCCTCACAATTATTGTCCCCTCTGCATCTGGCATACTGCCTCCAATCCCCACAAGTGACTTTTCCAACTTCCCTGCTACAGCAATCCCTGACGGCCCCTCCTCCTGGTCTTTCAGTTAGCAGAGCCCCTAGGAACGATCACACCTCACTCCCCAACTGACGACAGAACAAACCCCAGCTGATCTCTGTGCAGCTCCCTGATGGATTTGCAGCTAATCCCTGGGCTGATTAGATTCATGCCTGCAGGACTGATAGTGGGCCAGTCCCTGAACTGTAATGATATGAAGCACACAAAGGCCCCAAGCAACCAGCTGACTGTGGTCAAGCCCATGGACAGATATCAAAAGCTGCCTTTGACTGATCTTGGTAGTACTCCTTGACTGAAGACAGTTATAGAGTCATAGAATCATACAGCATAGAAGCAGGCCCTTCAGCCCAACTCATTCACACTGACCAGATTTCCTGAACTAGTCCCATTTGCCTGTATTTGGCCCATTATCCCCCAAACATTTCCTGTCCAAGTACCTATCTGAATGTCTTTTAAATGTTGCAATTGTACCTGCCTCTACCATTTTCTCTGGCACCTTGTTCCATATATGACCACCCTGTGTGTGGAAAAAGTTACCCCTTTTAAATCTTTCCCCTCTCGCCCTAAACCTATGTCCTGTAGTTTTTGACTACCCCTTCCCTGGGAAAAAACAAACCTTGGCTATTCATCTTATCATAGAAACCCTACAGTGTGGAAACAGGCCCTTCGGCCCAACAAGTCCACACCAACCCTTGGAGCATCCCACCCAGACCCATCCCCCTGAACACTACAGACAATTTAACATGGCCAATCCACCTAGCCTGCATGTCTTTGGATTGTGGGAGGAAACTGGAGCACATCCATGCAGACACAGGGAGAATGTGCAAACTCCACACAGACAGTCACCCAAGACTGGAATCAAACCCAGGTCCCTGGCGCTGTAAGGCTGCAGTGCTAACCAGTGAGCCACTGTGCTGCCCATCTATGCTTCTCACAATTTTAAAAACCTCTATAACATCACCCCTCAGCATCCTATGCTCCAGGGGAAAGGGTCCTAGCCTCTCCTTATAACTCAAACCTCCCAGTATTGGTAACATCCTTAAAAATCCTTCTTGCATCCTTTCCAGTTTAATAACATCCATCCTATAGCAGGGTGACCATAATTATATGTAGTACTCCAAATGTACCCTTAGCAATGTCTTGTACAGCTGTAGTGTGACATCCCAACTCCTGTACTCAATGCTCTGCACAATGAAGGCAAGCGTACCATTACCCTTTAGTTCACTAAGAATTACTCACCTTTGAATCATCACCATTTAGTTGAAGTACATACAGTACATTTGTCACTTAAGCTGCTAGCACATGTTGCAAGTGTAACATTGATGTAGCATGATGCTGTCCAGCAACATGACCACCCCTTGACTGATCATTGCTGGGAAACATGACAAGCTGCCTGGTTTTGTGTCTGTGATGCAAGGCAAGGCAGAATTACTGTGAGGCTGTAAGTTGTGAATGAAGTGATAATGTGCAAAAAGGCAAGGCAAGACAGAGATGCTGTGAACATCCAAGTAGTGAGTGAGTGAGCACCAAGAATGCAAGCTAAGA